ATGAAGGAACGAACAAACGAATAAATGAATGTTGGGCATATGAAGGCTCTGTCCTCAGTGTCTCAACATCCAGCCACCCAGCCCTTAGAGATCAAAGAGTGAAAACCACAGAAAAGACTCAATAGCTTGCTATAATGAAATTTTGTCATTCTACTCTAAATATGCTTAGGACCCTAAAAGCAATTAGGGTGTGATAAAAAGTATGTCATCCAGGCTTCCCTGGTGGCGCAGTGGTTGAGAGTCCGCCTGCCGATGCAGGGGACGCAGGTTCGTGCCCCGGTCCGGGAAGATCCCACATGCTGTGGAGCGGCTGGGCCTGTGAGCCATGGCCACTGAGCCTGCGCATCCGGAGCCTGTGCTCCGCAATGGGAGAGGCAGAAAAAGAGAGAGGCCCCCAACCCAAAAAAAAAAAAAAAAAAAAAAAAAAGAGTATGTCACCTAAGGCTAGTCCTCTATAGAGCTCAGCTGTAACAAATGTCTTCACTGCTGAAAACCAACACTAAAGGGCTGGTTTTAAAACTTTTTTTTTTTTTTAAACTTTCTGGCCATGCCACACAGCTTGTGGGATCTTATTTCCCATACCAGGGATTGAACCCGCACCCCCTGCAGTGGAAGCGTGGAGTCTTAACCACTGGACTGCCATTGAAGTCCCAGTTTTAAAGCTTTTGAGACCTGACTTCCAAACCTACAAATCTTGCAGCTCAAGTCCACAGACGAGACAATGGATCAATGACTAAGGCATCCTGGCTGATGATGACCTCTGGGCATTCTGTAGTCAACCAACCATACTGTTACCTTAACTAGAGAAGGCCTCCCAACTTCAGGGAGACCCTCTTAATGGAGGTCAGAGGTCAAGCCCAAGGCCAAAAACCCAAAAAGCAGGAGGCTTGGGAGGCTAGAACCATAGCCAAGCCCTTCCTCAGCTCCATTAAATAACAGGAGACAATTCACGAACAAGGGATTGGGAAAGGAAAGGTGGCCACAGAGGGTACAACATGGGCTCTTAAGGGGTCTACACAACCTAACAGGCACAACCATACCACAATTGCAAAACGAGAATTACAATGTCACATACTTGAGGGGTTTGTGAGGCTAAAACAAGTGAATACATGCAAAGCCCTCAGCAGTACCCAGCCCACCAAGTGCTTGATAAATGTTAGCCACTTTTACTACTACACAGGGAGAGCCGTTACCACCAGCACCTCCTGCTGCTCTCCAACCCCCCAGGTCTCTGGAGGCCCTGAAGCACTCTGATGGCTGGCTGGGTGGTAGCAGTAGTTCGAGAGTAGTTACTCCCACCATTGGGCAGATTTCTCCCTACCTCCCTGGGGTGACATGATGATGGACAGGAGATCATCTGGGAAGTGCTCTGAATTCCTTAGGAGTCAAGGAATCCTAAAAATTCAATGTGATATTCATTCATTCATTCACCAGACATTTACTGAGCACCTACTATGTGCCAGATATTTCACTAGGTGCTGGAGACACAGACAGTTAAAACAAGTCCTCTCCAGGGATTAAGAGCTGTTTACTTAGAAGACAGCCAAGTACACAGACAATGACAACCCACTGTGATCAATGCCACAGGACAACCAGTTCAGGCTTGCAAGGTGCAGGAGATGATCAGATGGGAAGCACCAAGTAGTGGTCTAGCAAAGAAGTGGGTGTGTGTGACAGGAACTGGTGCTCAGGAGGTGGGAACAGCACAAAGCAAAGACACAGAGGTAAACAACTGGGGATGGCAGAAGTGGCAAGCAGTTGAGTTTGACTGGAACTTGGGGAGATGCTGGAAGTGAGTAGTAGGAGAGATGAGGCAGGAGAACCCGGCAGAGGTCAGAGCTCAAAAGGCTTTGACCGCCACGCTAAGGAATGTGAATTTCAGCCTGAGAGCAATGAGGATCCACTGATGGATATTCAAGCAGAATTTTTTTTTTAAAGGATTCGCCACTTGCCCAAGTAATATTCTCTCTCTGGAGTTATTTGTTCCTCTCTGTGTGAAGCGAAGAAGAACACAAAAACCATTCCTGTGCTCTGATAACTTATCAGTGATCTATCTTAGGCAAAAAGACCTGTTCAGGGCTTCCCTGGTGGCACAGTGGTTGAGAGTCCGCCTGCCGATGCAGGGGACGCAGGTTCGTGCCCCGGTCCGGGAAGATCCCATATGCTGTGAAGCGGCTGAGCCTGTGAGCCATGGCCACTGAGCCTGCGCATCCGGAGCCTGTGCTCTGCAATGGGAGAGGCCACAGCAGTGAGAGGCCCACGTACCACAAAAAAAAAAAAAAAAAAAGACCTGTTCAGAAAAAGAAATACCTACAAGCAACAGATGCCCCTTTAGCTTTCAGAAATACACCAAAGCACGAAACTCATAACCAAGCAATGTTTGCTCACCATCAGCACATCAGGCTTTGGTGCCAGGCGTGGGGGTTTTCAGGAAGTGAGCAGTCAAGACATACAACAGCTTCAAAGGATGACTAGAAAAAGATGAAAGTCCAAGCCCAGAGCCAGGAGGACCAACAGACTGAATTTCTTCTGAAACACTTTTAGGAAGTGAAACAAGAAGGATGGGAGAAGTCCTGTGTAAAGGTCTCTGTCTGCAGATAGAAGTAACACCCCCAAAACCAGGCCCCCAGTGGGCATCAACTGCCTAGGGTCAAGGCACCCACCACCACAACAGGCTCTGACAAATGTCCTTGTCCAGCCCCGACATATGCCAGTGTTCGGTGGTGGGGGGGTGGGGAGGGGAAGGTATTATTTGAGAGCTGAGGTAAAGAAGGCTCCAGGTCACACTACCAAGAAGCTGCTGAGCTGGGACTGGAACCCAGGGTTAACTGATGGGGAGTCGAGGAGTGCTTTTTCCATCACACCTCTAAGCTATTCACGTCGCTCAGGTGAAGCCTCTGCTCAAACCACACTCAACAGATAATCTCTACACAACCTCTAAGGGATCTGAGTCTTTGTAAACTAGTGAAGTCACTCTTCATGAAGCTGCTCTAAGAGGTCGAAGAGGCCTGGTAGGCTCAACTCAGGACAGGGAGCCAGATGCTCTGAGCTCTGCTCATGTTCCTACCATCTGTGACAAGTCACTTCATCTCAAATCCTCCCTTGGAAGGATGGGGATAAGGTGACAATATTAAGTTTCCGTGAATTCAATGGAACTAGGAGAACAGATCGTAGAGTTTAAAAACAGGCACTACAGTAATATTTATATCACAGCTTTCTTCAGAAGCATGTGGAAACCCTCAAGGGTTCGTTAAGGCTTATAATACCTAGGAGTGGGTAGGAAATCAGCAGCTCTGTGCTGCTATCAGGGAAACTGAGGCAGAACTGGAGCAAGTGAATGTCTCTGCAAAGGAATAAGGCTCAGACTCACAAAGCCTCATCCTCTGGCCATGAAATCACCTTACCAGCTCCTGGACAAGATGTGGCTCCCCAGTCAAGAAGCCATGGGACCTGTACTTTTCTCAGAGACACAGACCCTTCCCTTGGGAATGTTCTTCAAGAACCCAGGGCCAAAAGATCCCCTAGCGGTCACGTGGTTCCTCTCTTCACTCCAAAAAGAATGCAGCTCAACCACTCTCAAGAGAGGTTCTGGATATTGTTTTTTTCTTTTTTTAAAAAAATTAATTTCTTTAGTTAGTTTTTTGGCTGTGTTGGGTCTTCATGGCTGCGTGCAGGCTTTCTCTAGTTGCAGCAAGTGGGGGCTACTCTTTGTTGAGGTGCGTGGGCTTCTCATTGTCATGGCTTCTCTTGTTGTGGAACATGAGCTCTAGGTGCATAGGCTTCAGTAGTTGTGGTGTGTGGGCTCAGTAGCTGTGGCTCACAGGCTCTAGAGCGCAGGCTCAGTAGTTGTGGCACATGGGCTTAGTTACTCTGCGGCATGTGGGATCTTCCCGGACCAGGGCTCAAACCCGTGTCCCCTGCATTGGCAGGCGGATTCCCAACCACTGCGCCACCAGGGAAGTCCTGGATATTCTTAAATTCATTTCATGGCCAGCCTGTTTTATGTCTCACAGTTCTCAATAGTCAGGAAAAACTTCCTCTCTTGCCCTGAAAGGTAATCAGTTATAGCAATAGCCTACAGAACTGTTTCATCCTGCAGAAAGTGAATCAAATACTCCTTATGAAGATCAGACGAGAAGCAAGAAGGCTACATCTTTATATAGGTGCAAATTTAATGGTAGCTAAAAATATTAAATAGCCCCTACACCCCAACCTTGCTCCAGCCTCTCCTTTGTCTCTGCACTTACAGGTCCGTGAGAGCCTGGGTGGGAACCCTGGCTCTTGTCTATACTACCCAATTGACCTTACAGGTGTGATTTAACCTCTCTGTGCCTCAGTTTCCTCGTGGATAAAATGGGGATAACAACAGTAGCTACCTCACAAAGGTTGCTGGGAAGCTTAAATGAGGCATTATAAGTGCCTAGCACAGGGCTTGGTACACAGTAGGAGGAGCTCAGTAACCAGTAGCTAGCATTTCCATCAGTACTTTTGGCATTATTACAGGTGTCCCCAGTTAACTTGTCCGTGAGGCGCCTACGTACAGACCAAGCCCAACCCCACCCCAGAGGAGGCTGCGCCGGGCCATTTCTTAGTTTTTCTTTTTTTCCTTTTTGAACCTTGGCAAAGAGATAAGGCCCTGAACGACGAGGAGGCCTCAGGATAGCCACGGGGGTGACTGTGCAGGGGGAACCAGTACCCAAAGAGAAGTTTCCTGTCTGGCCAGGCGCAGGCTCCCTCAGGCCTAAGTCTAGGAGTCTCTCCGGGAGGGCGCCCTGGGAGGGAATGCGGACTTGGGGTGGCTGGGGTGCAGGCCGGCGGCCAAGGAGGCGCGAATGAATGAACCCGCAGCCCTTCTGCCTCGTCCTGGCTTGGGATGCCACTCTAGCCCCTCCAGCTCCCTGTCCTCTCCGTGACCTTTGACCCCAGAAACCCCTCACCTCAGACCCCTGACTCCCCGCCCCACCACTTCTCCGGCCTCGTCAGGCTTCCCGTTTCCTCACCCACAGGTCCGAACGGCTCCCGGAGCCACGGCGCTGCTCGACGCGGCAGTAAAATGTCTGCGGCCTTGTCCCCCTGCTCTCCCCGTGCGTCCGTGCCGCCGGCAGCTCCGAGCCCCACGACTGTCACCTGCCGGGCGGAAGTGAGTTGCCCGCGCGCGGGCACTTCCGGTGGACGCACGGGCTGGGGGCGGGGTCAAGGGTGCACTGGCTGGGGCGGGGGTTGGTGCCCGCGGGGTGGGGCCAGAAGGGGCGGGGCCTACCGGAATTAACTCCGCCCCCGACACGTCCTTCACTGCCCCTGTCTTCGGTAGAGCGCGGAGAAAAATTAGGCCAGCTAACCGTTAAGCAATTGAACGTGATGGAGATGAAAAAGTTCGTAGAGACTTTGAGGTCCGTTTCCCTTCTGTGTTACAGATGGGAAAACTGAGGTTCTGAAAGGGGCAGGTGTTGCTCAAGAGCACTTACCTTGTGAAGGGAAGAGTTAAACTAGAGCTGTAAGTCTAGTCTAGCGCTTGCAGCCCTTCAGTGCAGCCCTATAGGGGAATTCCGCGTTTTACGGGAAAACCTCAGACCCTCCAAGGAGAACTTCATAATGTCCCATTTCCCCTTTTGCTGGGTCGGCCAGGACCTCAATTTCTATAGCTATCTCGCTCCCAACTCTGGTACTATTAACTTTCTCCTCCTCCTAGATAATTTCTGATTATTCTCTTTAAAATATTTAAAATAATATTTGCATTGTAGAGAAATGGAAATATACTAGTAAGCAAAAGGAGATAAAAAATCATCTGCAATCCCACCGACCTGAGACAATCATTTTTAACATTTTGGTGAATACCCTTCCAGACTCGACATATCATGCGGTATTTTTAACTCACCAAGATATTGGTAAAGCTTTCCCAAAACAATAAATACATTTCTATTTGGTGCTTTCCAATGCCTGCATGGAATTCTACAGTATGGGTGGCATCACTGTTCTAAAAAACAATCCCCTACAGCTGAACACTTAGGTTGTCACCAAACTTTTAATATTATAAAATATATTGATAAATAAGCATGCACAGCCAAGTCTGTATGTCCCATCTAATCCAGATATTACTGTTTTAATATTTAATATAGTTTTCTATGTTTAATCAGCCTCAACTACTTTTTTAAAAAATTTATTTTATTTATTTATTTTTGGCTGCATTGGGTCTTCACTGCTGCGCGCTGGCGTTCTCTAGTTGCGGCAAGTGGGGACTACTCTTTGTTGCAGTGTGCGGGCTTCTCATTGCAGTGGCTTCTCTTGTCGCGGAGCACGGGCTCTAGGCGTGTGGGCTTCAGTAGTTGTGGCACACGGGCTCAGTAGGTGTGGCTCACAGGCTCTAGAGCGCAGGCTCAGTAGTTGTGGCACACGGGCTTAGTTGCTCCACGGCATGTGGGATCTTCCCAGACCAGGGCTCGAACACGTGTCCCCTGCATCGGCAGGTGAATTCTTAACCACTGTGCCACCAGGGAAGTCCCTCAACTACTTTTTATAAAATGTTATTTTTAAAATAATTATAGACTTACAGGAAGTTGCAAAAATAGTACACAAAGGGTATCATGTACCCCTCACCCAGCTTCCCTCCATGGTGACATTTTATATATTGGTAGTATAATATTGAAACCAGGATATTGTCATTGGAACAATACCATTAACTACATTACAGACCTTACTCCACTTTTTAAATCCTCTTCTGAAGTAGACAGGAAACAAATAGAATTCTATATGTACATGCCATGTTCCATGTGCTATATACAGCTGTCTGGAGGAACCACCATTCCCCTAATGATAAATGTTGGCAAATGCCATCAGCCTCATTGGAAAACAAAATTTCACTGGGAATGTGACATGGAAAGAGAAGAATTACCCAACAAAACAAACCAAGGAACTTAAAGGTACCAAGCTGGACAGCTTATGTGAAAGTGACAAGTTAGTGGTAGAAGCAGTCAGAGATGGAAGATTTCCAAGGAGACAGAAGTCACAGCGTCAGTTTGCTCAGGAAGGATATCCTGAGGAAAGTGACATTTGTGCTAGGCTTTGCCCAATAAGAACACAGTTGCATGGGCTGAGACAGAAGGAAAAGGTGATCCAGGGACAACAGTGTAGAGGCAGGAAGGCAAGGGAACCAGACATCTGGGTCCTTCAGAAAGCAGTTCCCAAGTCCCTGATCTGAATCATGCCCTGGACTGGGTGTTGGATAGTTGCATGGCTGAGGCAAAGGCCCTGCTCTTGCTGACCCTACTGTTTGTCTGGGGAGGATGACAGAGCAGCAGACACGAGTGTGATTGGTGCTGTGGTAGGGGATGGGCTGGGGGCTATGGGAGTCCAAAGCAGGAAGTGCAGAGCAACAATGAATGTTTATGGAGCACCTCTGGTGGGCCAGGCAGTGTGCAGAGGGTCTCATTTCCTTCTCACTTCAGCTCCACTTTATCCAGGTGGACGGTTGTTGCAACTCCAAGAGCTTAAGCCAAACAGTGTGTGAGTGACAGCACTGAGGGACTGGCCCCAGAGCCCTTGGATATGTGCTCTCACAAGTCCCACTCATTCACCTAAAATATATTTGTCACTAAACCAGCCATATTGGGAATACAACAATGAGCAAAAGGCAGCACGATCCCTCCTTGGGGCTACGGTGGAGTGTGGGAGAAAGACAGACAAAGGGATAATTATAACACCACTCAGGGTGGCTTCCTGGAGGAGGTGACATCCAGCCTGAACTGTGAAGGATGATATTCCTCCTACTAACAGTTACTGTGAACGAATCACTGTGCTTGGCTTTTTCACATATTAACCCACTGAACTCTCCCAACAATTCAATCCCATGACTGTCTCCAAGGAAAGATGAGAAGACTTAGGCCAGTGGGCAGAGCCGATTTCTCCCCGACTCCCCTGTGGGCCTGGGCCTTCTCTCCCACAGCTCAGCCTGACAGGAAAGCTAAAAGGATGCTACTAATAAGAGGAGGCCAAAGGCCGTATAGTTACAGCTTGCAGAGGTGGGAGACGGAAGCAGGGAAAGGGTGCGTTTGGGGGCTTCCCTCTCCACCGCCACCACCAAACCCAGCTGGCCACACGGCCGAGTCACACTCACCATCAAACGCTGACCGCTGTGTCTAGAACAGTCGCTCCTGGGACCCTGGCCCTCTGAGACTCCAGGATGGGTGGAGCAGAGCCGATGATGGCGAAGCCCACCTGGAGAGAGAACCAGATTCTCCCAACAAATACATCATTACTAACAACATCACCTCCTGATTGGAGGAGGAGGCCCTACTGAGCTGGCTGATGTTGGACAGGCCTGTGCACCTCTTTGGGCCTCAATTTCTCCACTCTAAGAACTCTGAACCCATCATGGGCCAAGTACTTTGTATACCCTTGACCTCCATCACTTTATTTAACCCTCACTGTTCTCAAGAGGTGGGTGCTACGATAACCCTCACTTTACAGGTGAGCACACTGAAGCCCTGAGAGGCTGAGGAACTTTCCCAACTTCACAAGGCAACAATGTGCCGAGCTGGGAGTCCAGGCCAGGGCTGGTGACTGCAGGGCCCAGGCTTTCCCCCTTGTCCCATCTTCACCTGCCAATGAGGTCTCATCCAATCAGAGGAAGGTGGTGTCGAGAATTGACCTGGTGCTGTGTGACCTTCAGCAAGTTCCTTCCTCTTTGTGACACACAGAAACTGAGAGCACGCTCTTCCCACCCTCTCTCCACACTGGTGCATAATAAATAAAGGTTGAACAAATTAAATATTCTTTCCGTCTGTGCCCACTAGAGGGCGCACGGGTGACATTAATTGCCACCCTTCCCTTCCAATGGAATTGTTGCATGGGCAGCCTCACGTCAGCCTTTCTACGTCTGGACCTTCTTTCTAGATTCTTCTTCCTGTAATTACTATTCCTCTACTTCAGTTTGTGTGTGCTTGTTTTTTCTGTTGTTTTTATCTTACACATTTCTAAAAGTTGCTGCAGAGCCTTTCTGGAAGGAAGCAGGAGGTGACTGTCCACGAGCCTCACTGACTAGGCCAGTGTCCCACCTGCTGAAGGTGGGCAGCTCCAACTCCCCCCGCCCCGCCCAGGCCAGGACTGGCACAGCTCCCAGGGCAGAGGGGCTTAGAGTCTGCCCAGGACCCCTCCTCCGCTGCCCCCATCTCCCCCTGCTGCAAATGTTCTCATTACACCATCCCTGGGCTTCCCAGTAACAAAATGCTGCTCAACCCTCCTGGTTTCTCCGCCACCGCAGGCTGCTTCTCAAAGGGCTCTGCTCTCCTCTCTCAGGTGCCCCTGAGAGGGCTGGATGACCCTCCACTGGTGCAATCGAAAAGGCCCAGACTCTGAAACACACCTGGGTTCAAATCTCCAGCTGGACCTCACTTTCCAATTTGGAAAATGGGGCTGATTGAGCCTTCGTGCAAAGCTGTTACAGAGATTAAATTGTACAACTTCTGTGGAGTGCTTGGCAACCTAGAAACCCTCCTTCAAGGCAGCTGTTATTTGTGTTAATATTAGTTCAGCTCAGCCACTTCCTGACTGTGTCTGTGAGCACATGACGTAGCTTCTTTGAGCCTCAGCTTCCCTATCTAGAAAGTGGTACTAATACTCTATACAGATGTCAAGAAAATTACAGTAGATGTTGTAGGTAATATTCCTAGAGCAACAGCTAGCAGGCACTAAATAAGCATAGTGATTACGTTTATTAAAGGCCATAGATTAGGGCACAGAGAAAATGTCAATAAATTATAATATAGAAGAACTGGAGTTCATACATCCTTCTTTGATAACAATCTACAAAACTAGAAATTAAAAATAAAACCAGAAAACTACCCCTACACCTGGCAAATAAAACCCTTTCTTTTAAACAACTCCCGAGACTTCTGGGTCAGGTAGTGGATTCAACATGGGCATGTGATTCTGCTCCTTTCTGAAATTCTACTAAAACAACAGTAAGGGAACTTTAAAATTTTGACAAACTATAGATAAAATAAAATTTGCCTTTTAAACCATTTTTAAGTGTACACTTTAATGGGATTAAGTAGATTTACATTGTTGTGCAACCATCACCGCCATCCATCTCCAGAGCTTTTTCATCTTTCCAAACTGACACTCT